CCCCAAAACCCCAAAACCCCAAAACCCCAAAACCCCTAATTTAAAATAATTTATTGAAAATATAACAGAGATTGCCAAAATGGTATCTTAGGGTTTTCACTAACCACAGTTTAGAAAATTAGACGTTAAGAATTTAAGGAATCTAGAGACTCGAGGGAAGGTGAAATATACCAATACAGTTAATTTGTCCCTAAAGAATGTTTCAAAGACCAGAATCAGCCCATCACCATTGAGAATAGGAGAGAATGCTACCCTTAAAGTTGATAAGAAGCCAGAGGAAGTTCCTAAGAAAAGAAAGACAAACTTTACTAAATTCAAGATTCTCAAACCGAAGGGTAAATAAAAAAAGAAGAGAAAATAATGAGATTGTCTCATTTGTGAAAAAGAAGAGCGCGAGAAAATCAATTTCTAAACCAATAAAACAATCAAATTCGGCTCTAGTAATCGTTAAAACCCATTCTAACACTCTCTCAAAAATTGCTGACTCATCCCACTCCCTAGCACCAATTTCGACTTCAATCGCCTTAAAAACACCTCAAAAGCCTCTAAACTCACTCCAAACCTTCAAAATTCAAAATTCCTCAAAACTCAACTCTTCCACACCCAAAACTCTCTTTCTCCCATCTTCTCTCCCCCATTTGGCCTCTCTCCCCTCAGATCTCTCACCAAAATCCCGTAAGCGCAAGCGAAAGACTCTTAAGCTTCTCAAGAAGGCCTCTCAGTACAAATCCAGGACCTTCTTGACCCACCTTGATGTTCCCCAAACTGCTGCTGAAGAAGCCCAGGCAAGCCAGGCTTGCCGGCCATGCTCGCCGAGCAGTTCTTCATCGAGGGACGAACAAGAAATGCTCAAAGAGTTGATGGATGCGGAAGCAGTGGCTAATTCAACGAAATCTACTCTAGCAAACTTGCACTAGAAATGGTGAAGATGACTAAGAAGAACCTAGGAAAGCATATTCATACTATTACAGGGCTGAGGAAGGATTTATGAAACTTAAATGGTGTAACGGAGCATGTTGAGACTCAGGTTATGCCTCGCAAGAAAAAGGGGCCTGAAATGCCCAGTATTAATGTAGGTGCTACTGCTCAAAGTGATATGCAAGAAAGAAAGCAGATTGTGAATACTCTTGTTGACATTCACACAGGGATGAAAGATTTCTCCCTTGGAATACAAGGTAAACTACAGAAAACTTTTAATGGAGTTGGTCAAAGAATTTATGGCAATAAACCAGCATCTAAAGCTCAGAATCGAAATCTAAGATTTGACTTTAAGGCCATCCAGAAATTCCAAAAACAGGCTGATGGTTATCTAAGTCAAATGAAGGAATAAAATTTTATTTGTAGCTTTCAGTATAACTTTATTGAATAGGGGTTTTGGGGTTTTGGGGTTTTGGGGTTTTGGGG